TTGCTTGTGCACTCTTTCTCTCTCTGACACATAAATAAATTATTTGAAAAAAAAAAAAGAACTTTTAAAAATAAAAATTTACAAGATACTGATGCTAATACAACATGTTCTCTTATGACTTTCTTCCCTTTACCCTAACATCAAGATATGTTCTTAATGCTACCTTTGTTTTTATCTACCCGTGTAAATTTTATTTGGTGGGGCAGGGGAAGGGGGGTCGATGAAAGGGGCAGATAACTTAGAAAAGTAACAGCTCTTGGTCTTTGGGGGAAAGAAATAATGGCTTACAACCAGTGCACAATGAAATAATGCACAGACTTTATCCTCGAAACTTCATGGTTGGCTGATTCTGATAAGTGCCTCATTACATTGTTCTTGATGGAATGAATCAAATGCTCTCCACATACTAGTTAGACTTTATTTGCAGGGACAATGACTTAATAAGGATGACCAAAGAGGTGGCAAAATGATTTAAGTGTTCACACTGATTGAAATACTCTTTCCCAAGATGAAATATTAAGCACGTGTAAAATCTCAAATGAAAATACATTTTCTAGCAATATACTCTCCATACTAAGTGCGAGCAAAATGTTCTCTAAGAGTTGAAAAAAGCAATCGGCTACAAAATGCGGGGCAACAGGAGTGAGTCAATGTTCCAAAGAACTTTTTTAAAGAGCCAAGACTCTGGGGCACCTGGGTGGCTCAGTCAGTTAGGCGTCTGCCTTCAGCTCAGGTCATGATCCCAGGGTCCTGGGATCAAGCCCCACATCGGGCTCCCTGCTCGGCAGGAAGCCTGCTTCTCCCTCTCCCACTCCCCCTGCTTGTGTTCCCTCTCTCGCTGTCTCTCTCTCTGTCAAATAAATAAATAAAATCTTTAAAAATAAATAAAGAAATAAATAAAAAAAATAAAGAGCCAAGACTCTCACAGGGGACGGGAGGGAAAAATGAAACCAGACAAAACCAGAGAGGGACACAAACCATAAGAGACTCTTAATCTAGGAAACAAACTGAGGGTTGCTGGAGGGGAGGGGGGTGGGGGGGATGGGGTGGCCGGGTGATGGACACTGGGGATGGTATGTGCTATGGTGAGCGCTGTGAATTGTGTAAGACTGATGAATCACAGACCTGTACCCCTGAAACAAATAATACATGTTAATAAAAAAAAAGAAAAAAGAAAAAAAAAGCCAAGACTCTCATCTATTCTACATCTCACTTCCAAATTAAAGAATGAAGAATTGTAAGAAATACAGAAGCCCATAGAACCCTTGGTCTCTCCAAGCTCTCATGTGGTTTAGTTGCACCAAAATCTGTCTACATCACCCTCTAAATTTAATAGTGGAATGACTACATTAACTGGGAAGACTCCACCTCTCATCTTGGTTTTGAGCCACAGGAGCGAGTTCAACATGGTAGGGTTCTAAGATACTTGAATGGAACTGCCTAGTTCAGAAATAAGAGATTTCAACTAATTGGTGACATTATTCCAAAACTGTTTGTTTTGCTTATCAACTTAGAAGAATAGAGGTCACTTAACTATGTTGATGAGTTATACTAGAATGTCGACTTAATTTTAACTATTAGAGATCAATGCATCACAAGACTATGAATCCTTAACTCCTTTATTTCAATGTATTTATACAGAAAACCTAAGCCACTACATACTCATAAAAACGTATAACATCTTGAAATTGCCCAGCATAGGCAAGCTCTCATGGCCTCAAGAGAAGTAAATCAAGTTAATACTGATCAGCAAGTATACCTTCCTCCAAGTACCCGTTCTGAATACTGAAAATACAGGAAGTCATTTTATAAATGAAAATAAGATAGCACTTAGTGCAATATACACATACAAAAAAGAAAATCTCTCAGATTTTAATACAGCTTAAAATTTTGATAGCAAGCTTAGGAAATGGGTACTTGAAAAGTAAAGCCAAAGATAATTCAAAGGACAAAGTCATTACACATTACCCTTTATGTGTGTTGTATGCAAACATGATTTCATCTAAAGATGTGGAGGTAAATCAAGGTCTTTCCTCTGAGGAAGTGTGGGCATTTGGCTACATTAAAAACTGTTCCACATAGGAAAAAGCTTATTGAATGAATAACCATTTTTTCATTTTTTTAGAAGATTTTACTTATTTGAGAGAGAAAGAGAGAGCATGAGAGGGGAGAGGTCAGAGGGAGAAGCAGACTCCCTGCCAAGCAGGGAGCCCGATGCGGGACTAGATCCTGGGACTCCAGAATCATGACCTGAGCCAAAGGCAGTTGCTTAACCAAAACTGAACCACCCAGGTGCCCATGAATAACCATGTTTTGTTTTGTTTTGTTTTAAGATTTTATTTATTTATTTGACAGAGAGAGAGAGAGACAGCAAAAGAGGGAACACAAGCAGGGGGAGTGGGAGAGGGAGAAGCAGGCTTCCCGCGGAGCAGGGAGCCCGATGTGGGGCTTGATCCCAGGACCCTGGGATCATAACCTGAGCCGAAGGCAGACGCTTAACGACTGAGCCACCCAGGCACTCCTGAATAGCCATTTTTAAAACAAAACTACATTCAAATTTGTCTCGCAACACTTATATTTATAATGTGAAAAAAATGAAAATAGTATAAATGTCCAACAATAAGAGAATGATAAAGTGTATTTTACAATGAGATATTCTGCATCCATTAAAAATATTTTTCAGGGCAGTGCCTGGGTGACTCAGACTCTTGATTTTTGTTCAGATCATGATCTCAGGGGTTGTGAGACTGAGCCCCAAGTTGGGCTCCACACTGGGCGTAGAGCCTGTTTAAGATTCCCTCTCTCCCCCTCGGCCCCCCGCCCCGATAAATATATATTTCCAATAAAATTCACACCAGGGGAAATCCCTATGATATGAAAAAAAAGGAGAAATAATAAGGATCCAAGTGTTGACACAGTATGACTCCAACTCTCTGTGGATATATATATGTGTGACAGTATGTGTATGTGCGTATGTGTGTGTATTCTTTATTATCTCAACACTAGGTGTTGCTAAATTTTAGCATTATAAATAATTTAATTTTGTACTGCACTAGTTTCCCAAATTTGTTACAATGATAGATACATGTTATTTAAAACAAACACTCAGTGAGGTGACTAATTGGCAGTGTGCACCACAGTCCTCTGGCAGCGTGCCCGCTCTGCCGCAACTGGAAGGCCAAAGTCCATTTCCTAAATCTCCCCTACAGGTAAGGATCTAGAGGCAAACAGCATTCTGCACATTTGCATACAAGAGCCTGACATTTAAATGACGGTTGTGGAAGAGGGAATTGTCCTGGGCTGTTGTGTTGTGAGCGGCAAGCCTGGCGATGCAGACGATCCAGTTTGCTGAGGCATTTCTGGCTTCAGTTCCTAGCTTCACAAGTGACAAGAGACAAGGTGAGCACACCTGGAGACAGGGTGCTAGCATCAGGTGGGCAGATGCAGGGGGAGGGATCTCAGGTCACTTCTCTCCGGGAAGATGTGCAGTACTGCATTATTCAGAAAGTCCTTGAGGAGGTCCAGCCTACAGCCCGCTCTTCAAGCACTTCCAGTGATTTTCTGAGATTCCAATTCTAAGTATTAAGTTTGTGTTTATGTTTAAAATAGCTACTGTGGTTCTGTTTTGTGTAACTGACGCTGACTCACATACCCAGGATATGGAAGGAATTAAAAAGAAAACCCTGATTACCTCAATGACTTCTGACCCACTATCCTTAAACCATGTGAAAATCTTTTTAATAATGCATTTTTTTTTAAATGTCAACTCTACTTGTTTATACACTTCTAAATACCCATGTAAATTAAATCTATTCTGAACACAAGTTAATTGTCATGAGGCTTATTCATAAACTGGATTCTGCTTCTTTGGATGGTTTACTTCATGATCAAGCATTCTAAAATTTCAAGTTAATCTCAATGAGAAGATACTCCAACTTGATTCCTCACCAAATACATAATGAAATATTTCAGAAAAGTAAGCCTAACAGTTAAACTCCTAATCCAAAAAATCAGAGACTACAGCACACTGTTTTTTCCTGGTAGATTCTTCCCAGTTAAGGTACTCTAGATGCTCTATGTATTTTTTCTCCTTAAATGAACTACTACAAAAGAGTGTTTGTAGAAATGCAACAAGTAAAAAAAAAATTAAAACAGGTACTTTCACATAAATGCAAAGGATAAATCAAATATTAAGCTATATTCACTTTAATATTAATATGTAATTATAGTTCAACATACACATGGTGCTCAATTACTGTCTGCATTGAAAAAAATATTAATTCATTCAATAGATGTTTACTGAGACTCTACAGATTCAGCAGTGAAAATGACAAACACAGCTTAAAGCTCATTGAGTAAAAGGTTAGAGGTATAACAGAATGGGATGATAAGGCTCGAAAAAATAGAATAAAGTTTATTTTTTTAGACTAAATAAATTAGGTCATGGACTGAAATAAATTAGCTCAAAGAAGAAAATGTTATTAAGACTAGGAAGTACACGTCCTTTCTCTAAGAAGAAAAAATTGTCAATAGGGTAGTTAGACTATGGATTCTACTTTCATCCTTAGAAGTCCATAATGCTATAATTTCTTTAATGTACCTCATGAACCAATAGGAATATCTGCCAATATATGTGTAAAATACCTTTGCAAGGACATGCAAAAGGCTAATAAGGGGATTACCCCTGAAGAGAAATAGGGTGACTAGGAGACAAAGTAGGAAAGGGACTTTACATGTACACGTTTCATGTCAAAAGATTTCATTTTTAATCATAAATATATTATCTATTCAAAAAATGGATACATAAATAAATCTATTAGCATGAATTTTATCATAAAATGCAAGGGCAATGTAAAATAAGAAGTCATCTAAACTTTGATGCAGAAGTTGATACGCACACACACAAAGGGCCATAGTGAAGATGGGCTAGAAGCAAAGGATCCAGTCAGCAGCTGACATTCATCATTGATACTAAGAAGACACAGAATAGAAATGGTTACCTTCCTGTCACAGGTTTTAGGGCTCCCAGCAGTGTTTTGCTTAAGGAAGCCAGCTGTTGTTGACCAGCGTGTGGGGTTTTTCCGTGAAGGCTCTTCAGAAGAAAAATTATTATCACTAATGGAAGTTGAAAGGCCAATTAAAGCTGGGTCACTGCTTCGTCGGACATGAAGAGGCATATCTATAAATACAAAAAAGCATTATATTTTTTAAAAGGTAACTAATGTCTGAAAACTACATGTTAGGATAAAGGTAGTGAAATCCAAAAGATTAGAGTAACACTTAGGTGACAGTGGGTCACCATTCTAAATAGAAATTCCATTAGTTCCTTTAAAACACTTTACGGCAAAAGAAATGTAGTATGTATGGGATAACCTGCTCTGGAGTCAGACTGCCCAGGCTCGTATTTGTGCTTCACCAACTTGGTATCTGTTTGGTTCTGGGCAAGTCGCCTAACTAGACTCTGCTTCTAGTCTCTTCCTACGCAATAAAACCATCCTTCTTCCATAAGGGTATCTTGAGGACTAAATGAGATGAAGTGCTTAAAACAGTACCTGACACTCTGTGCATACTCAATATACAGGGGCGCCTCAGTGGCACAGCTGATTCAGCGTTGGGCTCTTGGTTTGGGCTCAGGTCGTGATCTCAGGATTGTGAGATCAAGCCCCACTCTGCTGAGCGAGGAGTCAGCTTGAGAGTCTCTCTCCCTCTCTCCCTCTGTACCTCTTGCTCATGCACGCACTCTCTCTCTCAAATAAATAAATAAATCTTTTAAAAGATATATATCATACATATTCTAAAGTAGAAATAACGATGTGAGCCATGGAACAAATCTTATCTAACTTTTAACCATATCGGGATTAAAAATACACAATCTAAACTTCTCGGCTCATCTATTAAGGAATTCTGTTAAATAAGATAATTACCTTGTTCAAAGAAGTACTATCAGAAAATATAGAGCACAAACACATTTCTTATCCTCAAGATAATGGGAATCTTGAAAGTAATATGCAGGTATCTGGCATATACTCACATTCACAATTACATGAAAGACAGTGTTTCAGCAACTGTATTCACATAAAAGAGGGGTCTGTTTGCAACTGCTATAACACAATCATTAACAAACTCAGGTTAATATTTGTATCAAGAGCACTGAGCACACCTTAGCAGATACAATCATTGGTATAGCAGAGAAGGAACAGAACTATAAAACCAGATAAGAACAAAAGCACATGAGTCTGTAACACTGGGAATCAAAACCAAAAACTCCACTTACCAACTGAGCAAAATCACTCAAAAACATTAAATATAAGATGAAAAATTTAAATTATGTTAAAAAATAATGTTAGAGACGATCCGTTTTCAAAAACTAGAATGCAAGGTAAATATTTCTAAAAAGTCTCTAAAAAGGGTGCCTGGGTGGCTCAGTCGGTTAAGTGTCTGACTCTTGGTTTTGGCTCAGGTCATGATCTCAGGGTCTTAAGACTAAGCCCCATGTGGGCTCTCATTCCCTCTCCCTCTGCCCCTTCCCCCACCTCTCATCCTCTCAAATAAATAAATAGTTTCTGACAAAACAGCTTCAGTGGTGGAATAAACTCATGATTTACACTATGAAAAACATTTTTGGAACACTGATGAACTGATTAATGGTATGGCTATACAGATCCTAAAGGATGGATGCTCAACTAAAAACAGACTCTACATACTGAGGGTGATATTTAAACCACTGTCAATCCAATAGTCTCAAAGATGTTAAAGCAAATTAGAAATGATCAGAGGAAACAGAAGCATATGAATAAAATATTGCTTTTAACATGTGCTTCTATATCATGAGGATTTGATAATAAGAGAGCCTGGGTAACATTACCAGAAAAAAATATGCTGAACATTTAATTTAATACTGTTAGTAGTTACCTTAATTTGCTGGGAGAAACACACACATGAAAATTACAGAGAATAATTTCCAACTTTTAAGTGGTAAATAAAAAACTTGTGATGGCCCTTACTGCTTATACATTGCACCCAAAAATAAAACACACCAAGAACTATATAGTCATTCTCAAAACAAGTTCACAAAAATATACATCTAAGAATCTATGTGTATTAACACTACAATGCTCTTACTATAAAAAAGACTTCCCTCCCAAATAACAAAACTGTTCCCAGATTCATCACATCAAAAATGTTAGCAGAAAAGCAAAAAGAGGAGGGGGAAGAATAAAACAGTTCTGGCCAATTATAGTACTGCTTCTTGGATATGAGTTCTGTTGCTTTCCAGTTACTGGGTTGTTGATTATTTAGTTGTTAAGGAACTCTGCACACCTCAACTTCTGTGTACACGCATGCCTGCACGTGAGCACCTTATGTGTGTATCTGTGTGTAAATCTAAAAGAAGCACTACTCACCAGAGATGGTCTTTAAAAATGGAACAGAAGTAACGGCCACAATAAAACAATCACATAAAAGTACATTTCCACCCCAAAATAAATTCAGGAACTATATAATCTCATTGAATTTGCTTAGACAAAAGAAAAGAGCTTCTTATGCTTGCTTTTGAAAATTTTTCCCAGAAGAAATAAATTGCATATAAGGATGCATCTTCTGATGGGACATGATCACTGTGTTAATCTGTTAGTCTGAAACAGACAAAAATAATTAGCCTTTCACCTCTTGCATCTGTAACTCATGAAACTGCAGGTGTGTGGGGGGCAAGCGGGGGCTAGAAAGCAGATAAGGTACAGCGAGGACTGCAGACCCTGCGGGCAGAGCCTTCTGGGTAGATGTGGGGCACTGCACTGGGGCAGCACATATAGGACCCGCGGTGTGACAGGTGTCCCAGGAGACACGCTATCAGCCAGCCCTTCCTGTCAGTTCTTTGCACATTACACTTTCCGTTTTCATTTCCTTCCGTTTTCATTTTAGTGATGCCCATAAAAGGAAATAATATAGTCTGGATCTTTTGCTTGTACTACCTAGTAACCAAGTACCCTGACGCAATTTCAAAGCCCCATATTTACATTTCTGTTCACGGTCATATGCAGGAAGGTGATCTGAGTCCCAGTCTAATGAGAAAACTCAATTTCAAATGTAAACAATGTGTTCTTCATAAAAGAATGCCAAATGGTACCATAATGATCTTCAAATCAAGGTTTTCTTGCAGTTCAATGCGCTGAAAGAACTGAATCCTAGTGCACACCAGCAGCATCACTAGGTCCAAATGCAAAGCCCCCAGGCCACACAGCATTGGTCTACATTCATGGTGCCTGTGATTCAGACTCAGCAACACACTGATGGTGTGAGATTTGCATTTGTATTGGTTTATAATTTCTTCTTGGTTTTATGGTTGCATGAAAACTATAAGACATTTTTATCCAGTTTATACACACACCTAAGTAACCTTGGATTAGAACCATTGATTTAACTTGCAGTGATGAGTCTTTTTTTTTTTTAATGAGGCTCTACATTAATCACAACAGAGGAACATGTGACTCACCTCACAGATGAGTAAGCTGAGGCTCAGCGAGATGACAGGAGGAGCTCAGGAACAATTTCCTGGCGCCTGGGTCAGTGCTGACTCACTACCCAAATCATGAAATCCATTTCTAGCTACTTGGAGATAAAAATGTGAGTCTCAATTTTGTAAAAGGAAAAATGTTTGTTGTTTTCTAAGTAGGATTATATATACTGAAAAATCATACACTGATTTTTAACAAATAGCAACATATGATTTTGGAGAGCTAAAGAAGTATTAATGTTAGTTATGCATATAGATTGAAACAACAGCCATCCCAATTTCAGAAGTGTTAAAGAAAGAAAAACCTCCTGGTTAAGTATAAGTACAATGTATAAGATAATGAAGTACACCCCAAAGGAGACCAGCCTAGACCAGTGCTTGTCAAATTTTGATCTCAGGACTCTTTCACTCTAAAATTTACTGAGGGCCTCAAAGAGCTTTTGTTTATGTGGGTTATAGCTAGGGACGTTTACCATATTAGAAGTGGAAATGAAAACAATTTAAATATTTATTCCTTAATTCATTTTTACCTTAACAATAATAAACCCATTTACATGTTAACGTAAACAACAGAATTTTAGAAAATTCTATTTTATAAAACAAAGTTTATTTAGTGGGAGAGTAGCATTTACATTTTGTTTGATAGATGACATCTCGATTCTCATCCCTGCTTCTGATTTCAATGTGCTGCAACATGACAAGCATACGAAGAAAAAAAGAACTCCACAAATACTTAGCTGGAATAGTATTTTAATAATCTTTCCAAAACTGTAGATACTCCTCTTTGATACCACACCAAAACTTGACAAATGAGAGTTTCTCAAAGGTTAGCTGCAATATGGAATGTAAACTTCTCATTCTTTGTATATTAAAATCTACTTGTCTGTCTTACTTTGGATCTTTTACTCATCAAAAAATTCTGTAACATTAGCTATTTGGAACATATTATTGGCTTATATCACTCTTAAAAAGGTTGATATATTTCTTCATATCAGAAAATCACATAATGTGAATATCACTACCCATTTCATGAGAAGAGTCATTAAGTGGTGGGGGGACTTGTGTTTTGCAAAATCTAATTTTCACTAGAAGGCTTGCATGTTTTCTTTGGCAATAAATACTGTCCGGTATTTGCCATGTAGCGACAGGCTCACTTCATTCATTTTCTAGAAACTCTGCCAGACATCAAAGTCTGAAGAACCACAGTTTTCTGTCCTTTTTCAAAAAAATAAAAAGAGAAAAAAGAAAGAAAAAAGAAAACATGGTGTTCCACTAAAAAAAGGGCTGGCTCCTCTTACAACGCCCACCATCACATAGAAGTTTTTCTCAAGACAACCACTGATCTTCAATATGTACAAATACTTTACGCCTACCTACCATTTTAATCACACAAAATATTAAACTGGATACTCAAAGGCCAGTATTTAGTAAAAGCAATCATTTTTGCCGCTTTATCAAGGACAGCAGATGGAAATGGCTTGTGTTTTAAAGTGTGAGGGTGTTGGGTAAAAAATACATCTGGTGCCAATGTCCTGATTTGTGCCAAGGGGCCTGCATTTTACCTATCAGTGCCTGAACACCACTGGTGCAGAAGATCAACCCAGTGAAAAACACAACACAGATTTTGGTAATACTCTGAAAAACAGTCTTGCCCTAACAGCCTCCTT